ATAAGTTATAATCACATGCTAATTAGGACCCGTCTGATGCACGAGCTTCATTTATAAGCAAAATTGAAGAAGGAGCTCTACGAATTTCCAATTAAATGGTGTCCAAGTTCAATTCAAGTATTGTTTTTTGGGGTTATCTCTAGTTTATCCAATCACAATCTAAATTAAGCTTTAGTGAGAGTGGCTAATTTCAATTCAAGTGGTTATTTTTTTGTATCTTAAAGCTAATTTTTATTATTCTTTTTGAAAATAAATTTTTATTAATATTTATTAGTTTATTATTATTTTTGTATTATTTTAGGTAAAATTATAAAAAAAATCCTCTTATAACAATTCTATAAACCACTTTTGTTTTTCTTTTTTGACCCTAACAAAGGCCTCCCCTATAGTTTTGAGAAAAAAAAGGTAACGAAGACATTGAAGTTATTAAAATACCCTTATCATTGTTAATAAATTAGCATACATAATTTAAAGTTTCAACTTTACCCTCCACTAATTTATTTTGCTAGGCAACTTTCAAAGAATAACTCTCCTAACTCTTCTTAGACAAAGTAAGGTAAAAAGGCTGAAGTAAAGTAAAATTAATTCATTACATCAACATTTTTTATTTGGAATGTTGACGAAAGGAAGGTATTTGCACTTTTTTTCAAAACAATAAAGAAAGTTTTGTTAAGGTTAAAATACTAGGGAGTTTCATAGTGTTGTTAGAAAACCCAAGGAGTTTTTTTTTTATAATTTTTCTTATTTTTAAATGGAATTTAAATTTATTTTAAAATAATTAAATTATATTTAAAATTAATATTTTTATTAATTTTTCAAATATGTAAAAATTGAATTTATTTAAGTATATTAAGTTTTTATTAAATTTAAATTTTTGATCTTGCATTTTGGTCATAGATTTTTATTAATTTTTTATTAAGTTTGTTTTAAATTAATAAAATTTAATTATAAATAATTTTGTATTAGTTTTATATTAATTTTAATTTGATATTAGTTTTTAATTTATTTGATTCCTTTTATTAATTAATTTTTTTATTAAATTAATAAAAAATTATCAATAACAATAATTATTTTTTATTTTATATAAGTAACTTACAAAATCATTTATATTATGGTTAATTTATATTTATTATTTTCAAATGGAATATAAATGGAAGTAGATAATTTAGCATAGTAATATATCATTAAACATCTCATTCATTATAATTAATCTTTACCAATAAGTACAGTTTAATGCTATCTATCTATCTATCTATCTATCAAAGATAAGTGTCTTTGAGAATAAACAAGACAGCATGAAAGTGCCAGCTGGGCACATTCCATTTTATATGTAGGTATAGATATGTAAAATCTTTTGAGAGATCTCCCTGTTATGAATGAAGTAATTACTTGATTAACAAACAGCGGGGTAGTGTTAGGATATAAAAATAGAGAAATTTCTATAGAGAAATGTAAGGGTTTCCTTCACGTATAAAGTAACAAGGATCAAAATATCGCAATATATGGAGGCGTATCCACTGATATGTATATGCCTCTAGGGGTGTTGCGGGGCTTGGTCTAGTTCAGGGGTAAACCGGCCTGAGACCGACCCCTCTGAACCAGTTTCAATGAAAAAGAAAAAAATAAATAAAAATAAAAAGAAAGCAAAAATACAGGTGCTACGCTTATCGATATTTTGAACCTTGCAAAGTAGTGTATATATATTTACTGTTTGATACGATACAATGACTCAATGATTCAATGATAGTTTCTCAACTTCTGTGAAATCTCTATGAAACATTATTTGTATATGTTAAAGTTCTATCTAAACTAAACTCAAAGTCCAAGAAATTCATTCAACATTGGATGGTTGTGCTTCTCTTCACTTTGCACCAAATACCCATTTGCCAAAGCGATAGCTTAGAAACCTTCAAATAACAGCATTTCGAGACGAAAGTGCTGCTAAAGTGAGGTCTAAGATTGAAGGACATGAATTACTTGATTTTGATCATAATAACCTAAGAAACCTTCAAATGGTAATTGGTTAAGACTGAGCACATTATCATTTCTTTAGGAGTTAAGATTTCGGTTTGTTTCATAAAAACAGGGGGTCCAACTGTGAGTTTGTCTTTTACCCCCAACCCTGGTGGCAACCGAATTAGATCCCATGTCTCTATTCCGACAGTCAGAGATCCTATCAATATATATATTGAAAAAATTGAGTTATCTCATGATTTCTGCCTAAAATTTTCAATTAGGGTATATTAGACTTTTTACATTCTCACAGATGAGAAGAGGTCTTGAATGTTTCTGTATTTAGGAGAAACGTAGGGGAGGTTTAAGGAATTTATCATTATTAATTTTTACCTTTTTTAACAGCTCCTTAAGTTTGCTTGTTATGTGGATTTTGGAATGTGGTTTGCAAAACTAACGGATCTCTATGAGTGCGGTCTGGTGGCTGCAGCATTCCACACGAGTCCCGATCTGCTCCCATAGCCATATTTATATTAACCTCATTACACGTTTTAACTGTTTATTCGGAACATAGTAGTTATTTCGAGTATAGAGTGGAATCTATCTATGAGGTTGGTGTGGGGTGCTTTGTGTGAGAAGCAAATCTCAATTCATTCCACTTCTCTTCCTCTAAAATTGACTACGTTACATTGGGAAACTCCCAACCCCCTGAAATAGAACTCTCTTTCCAAAATGGACTTAAGACCTCCCCTCCTATGGTAAAATCCGTTTATATGTGACCTCATGTAGGGGGTTAAATTTTTTAAAAACTCAAATTTGCTCCTAATCACTTTGTCAGTTTCTTTAATGTTTTGATCGGACACCCAACGCCATGGATTCCAGATGGATGTTCAACCACAGCCAGGGGTCTCAAGGTCTAGGATACATGCATTAGCCAAAAGCTTAAGGATCGTAAATGTACTACATTGGACCTGGGTGGTCTGATGGTTAGCAAAACAATTCTGATCACCACTAAACCATCTTGACATAGTGAAAGAGACGAGGGAGACAACTTAAACGACCAATCTTCTCTTTCCTATTGCTTCCTCGCCGGCCGGCCCCTCGGTCTGTTTGCCCTGTGCTCAAATTTAAGTTGAGAAACCCATCCATCAGTAATGGAAATCGAAATGGCTGAATGTCATGCCTGTTCAATTATTTATGGAATCAACCACATTAGTTATAAAATATATTCTACGTCATGCCTGACGTAGAATATTACCATTGGTTCTGTAGCCTAGCCCACCAAACAGCTATTGTGTTCAGCTAATCCTTTTATTTACAAACAGGTTTTGGATTCATATATTTAGTGTTGCTTAAGATATTGACCTAGATTTTGGGAAAACCATAACAGGTGTGAATAGAAGAGGAGCAATTTTGTGGAAAAGTCATTAGATGAAAACCTTAATGATGTGTTTGGTTGCAATGCAAATAGATTTGTACTAATGTAAAATTATGGCAGTGCAAATGATTTGAGTGTAAATTCTGACCTATTTTTGTTTTAAATTTTAACTTATTTTATTTGATTGCAGTATAAAAGAAGTAAATTAAGACACAAAGTAGAATAAAGTAAAACTCAAAACAAAATTAAACAAGAATTTGCATTTTTTTTTCATTTGCACTCCCATACATTTGTATTAGTGCAAATAAAATTGCACTGCAACCAAATGCAACCTTAAGAAATTAAGCAAACGAAATAGGCATAATAAATGTTTCTACTGTTGTGACCACCCTGAACCCCATCATTCAGATGATTTACCCTGACCAATAAATAAATAAGGTAAATTTGCTGAAACCTCCCCTGAAGTTCTTGGCTATTGCCAAAATCTCTCCTAAATTTTGGTAATTGCAATCATCTCTTCCCAAACATTTTGACGTAGTTACAAGTAAACCCCCTTTGTTAAAATTTTCTAACAAGGACCAAAATGTCCAAATACCCTATAATTACAAATGAGGCTGATTTTTACATAAAAAATAATACAAATTTTATAAATAAACAATATAAAAGAATTTAAATTTTAGTTTTATTTTTGAGCAATTGCTATGAAAGGCAGATTTGGAAAATAAATCAATTTAAAAAAAAAATCGAATGACTTTGAGGAATATTTTATATGAAAAAATAATTAAAAACTAAACATTCGGAATAATGAATATTTTAAATATTTTTATGTCTGTTGTTAGAGGATTCTAACATGAATGAATTCTGTTCTTATACCCACAAAAGCCCTGCCCACACCTACCCACGTGTCACTGCAAATGCATACTGAGAGCATTTCCCATATTTACTTGTTATTATTCATCGGAAACGTGTTGCCGATTTACAACCGTTGTGTTATTTGGGTACGTATGAATAGGGTTATTGTGGGCTGGAGATTCGAATTGATCTAACAGATAAGTCTACTTCGAAACTGAATGAAAAAGTGCATACCAGCAACGGTCAAAAACCTCAGTGAGGTTTGGTTTTAGCAATTTACCCGACTAATAAATAAATAAATAAAATGTAACGTTGAAAATTTCAAGCAGCACATCTTAAAATAATATACGTGGTGAATATTAGACATGTGTTAAAGCAGGGAAGAATGTGAATCCTACTCTCGCGAGTAGAATTAGAAATGGTATTGTCACCGTTTCTTTTACATGTGTCTATTTATAGAATACCGCAAATACAACACAAAGGTCCAGTTAAAAGACAGAAACACCCTTCACAGGGATATGTGTAAAATCATTGACGAGAGTAGATCTATATTCCTACTCGCGAGAGTATGTGTTAGCATCTCTGAGAATCTGACAACCACACAAAACGCGAGCAACGCCACGCCAGCTGGCCAATTCAAATGCTCACACTACCAACATTACATAGACGATTGCGATTTCACCACATGTAATTACCATCCTGCGTCGTCTATCTATCCGTTAGCTAGCCCTAACTTTAACGGAAAATTTTTTCTCCCTCTCTCTCCCTCCCTCCCCCAACTCACATCTCT